AGTGTCAAATAATTAATCTGTATTATAATTATTACTAAATTGAATTATTAATTTATTTTATAAGTTTTTAAGTATCAAATCTGTTATATATTTAAGTATCTCTCTAACCCCCCCTTAGATATTTGCACATATAATTATATTATAGAATTATTAATTTTTATTTTGTTAAACAAATTAATTAGATTGTTTATAATATTATTATATTATTGTATACCAAAAAATAATATTTAATATATATTTAATCATAAAATTCAATCTAATAATTTAATATAGGACTTTATTTTTTCATTTACATATAAAAAATTATTCATGCCCCAAGTCCAATAATTCCAACTTAAAATAAAAGAACTTATATGCATTGCCTCCATAAATACAGGCTTCAAGTTGTTAATTATGATAGGATTTTCACTTCAAAAAAAATGTGTGGTAGCTCATGGGCAACAACAGTCCATCTCTAGTGGTAAGTTGGTATTCCCACATTTCCAGTCCAACGAATGCCAAAATTCAGTATCCTTTTGCAAATATGAACCAGACAACAGTGACACTCCAGTAATAGAATTATTTGGAAGCAAAACATAAGAGATTAGCGATTGACTGACGTAATGATCGCCACTCAATAAGTATTTTTTTCTCATGATGGAAATTATTATCACCACATTTCTGTTGTCACAACATAGTCAAATTTTTGATAATTTAATTCAAAGTAGTCAAGGTTTCCTCAATTAAGTCATCATTAACTTTGAGTTTTTCTACACATCATTTCGTGTTAATTATTAGTAGGAAAACATTTTTTATTTTCATACCCCAAGTGAATTTAAGGGCACGATAAGAAATTTAGTAATTTTTCAAATTACTTTTAAAAAAAATAGACTTATTTGTTATGTTTTTATTGGATAGTAATTTCACGTGATAATGATGAGATAATGTCGCTGTTACGCCCAATATTTTTTTCAAAAATCTCCCACTTCCTCTATTTATTGATTGCCTTGGTTACCTGTTTAGCTAGACAGCTTCCATCTGTGTACATGTGTGTGTGTTAGAGAGATAGAGAGAGAGAGTATGGGAGAGGAGTCTATTGATTCGGGGGCCATGCTACAAGGTCAAGCTGAGATATGGCAATACATGTTCAACTTTGCAGACTCAATGGCTTTGAAAGCCGCCGTGGAGCTCCGAATAGCCGACATAATCCACTCCCATGGCTCTCCGATCACCTTGTCCAAAATCGCCTCCGGCATTGCCTCTTCATCCCCGGACACCACCTGCCTTGCCCGAATCATGAGACTGCTAGTCCGCAAGAAGATCTTCACCGCCAATTCTCAATCCAACGGTGGAGAGCCGCTCTACGGTCTCACCCCTTCCTCCAAATGGTTACTACATGATACGGATTTAAGTCTCGCCCCGATGCTACTCATAGAAAATCACCCATGGGCAGTGGCACCGTGGCATTGCCTGAGTAGCTGTGTGAAAGAAGGTGGCATTATTGCAAATCAAATTTTCTCTCCAAACATTCACTTTCTTTTTATTTCGAGTCAGATTTATCCTTATGATGTAGCCATTTAGGAGTTACCAGTATAAGTTGATGTTCATCAATACCTCTCACGCAAAGAAGCACAACTGTTTTAGCACAATAATTTCACGTTTTTTCGGCTCGTAGACTAATAATTTCTAATTTCATTGTATGCTCAGGACATACTATGATGTTATTACACATGTTTTGTAGTTTTGTGTAGTCATTTTGTAATTGCAAAATGTATAATCATATGCTAATTTTCCCAACAGGTGGGATTGCATTCAAGAAGGCTAATGGACATGAGGTATGGGAATTTGCAGCACTCAATCCTGAATTCAACCAGATGTTCAATGAAGGCATGGCGTGTACGTCGAAGATCGCACTGAGGGCGATCATTTCGGGTTACGAAGATGGGTTTGGCTGCGTGAAATCGGTGGTGGATGTGGGTGGTGGCACAGGTGCAGCCATGGCGGAGATTGTGAAGGCTTATCCGCATATAAAGGGGATCAACTTTGATTTGCCGCATGTGGTGAAGACAGCGCCGGAGTACCATGGAATTTCTCATGTTGGTGGTGACATGTTTGAGGTCATTCCTAAAGCTGACGCAGTCTTCATGAAGGTAAGGGTCCGATATTTTTTTTATCGAATGAAAATGTCACACGTATAATTTTTTTTATTTTTTTATTTTAGTTATTTTTAGGCCTTATTTGAAATGCAATATATATATAGTTTTTTTCACATATCATTTGTCATAATTTTAATGATACCCATTATATACTAGTTAATCATTCACATATTAATAATGAATCTATTAAAATATAATTATATATGTATATGTATATCTATATTATTTATAAATGCCTTAATAAAAAAATTAATTTTTTATTTTATCTCTAATTATTACAATAAAATCAATTATTATTATTTATATACTTTCATTTAATTTTTGTTTTTTACTCATATTTAACTTTCAACTTGTTTGGACTCTTTTATAAGAATTCTTAAATTTTTTTGAATTTATTTATTAGTAATACAGTTAAATACAATTCTCTATATTAAAGTTTTATATATGTTAAATTATTATACAAACATAGATATCGGATTAAATTCTACAATTCAATATATATTATATTATATTTTTTAGTATGCAATAATATAATAATATATTATAAACGATCTAACGATCTATTTAACAAACTAAAAAGAGATTCCTAAATAATGGATAAATTAGGTACTCAAAAATTTATAAAATAAAATAATAATTAAAATATAGATTAATTAGTAGACATCTAATTTATTATCTAATTTAATTACACATATAATTCACATTTACAAAAAAAATATTATTCACATTTTCTTATATATATAAGAAAACACCTAACAACTTAAATTTTTATTCTTTACATATTTTCATTTCTAGAAAAGCATATCACCTATTTTTATCACATATTTAATTATTTAATATTTAATTAATTTGTAATTTAAGATAACTTTTATTGAAAAAATTGTCCATACACAATAGTGTAATATATTGAAAAAATTTTGTTGGATTATGTATTTTGAAAAGTTTTTGTCGATATTTATTAAAAAATAATGGATAAAAATTAATCTCAAATGATATAATTAAAGAAAGGAAAAATATAAAAAAATTATTTAATATAAAAAAATTAATTCATTAAACAATTAAATTTTATGTTTCATCGCACTATAAGATTATGAATATTATATATTAGGTGAGATTTGAATCCAATAACCCACGACCACCCACAACACGAAAACACGCGACTCTCTCTACCTCTGCAAGCTTTAGTTGTGTATGGTGGGAAGTCCCTTCCCAAACCTACTCTAGTGGGACCCCTCCTACAGATTTTGTTTGCCCCATTATAAATGATAATTGAGTTTGACTGTTTGGAGTAGGGTAAGTACAGTTTAAGAACATTCCGCATGCTAAATGTCCAAAGCAGTACACGCATCCACAAATATTTCTTAGACAGCTTAAGAAACCTTTCATTGAACATTGTAGTATAATACAGATATATAAGAGGAAAGACTTTTAATTTTGGTCACCACAATTTAAAAATAGGTTGTTCAAATTTTTGATTAATCATAATTTTTTTTCTTACTTGACCTTACGTGGCCTTATTGGACAACTAGCCTAAAAAATCGAATAGAAATNTTATGATGTTATTACACATGTTTTGTAGTTTTGTGTAGTCATTTTGAAATTGATTTTGTAATTGCAAAATGTATAATCATATGCTAATTTTCCCAACAGGTGGGATTGCATTCAAGAAGGCTAATGGACATGAGGTATGGGAATTTGCAGCACTCAATCCTGAATTCAACCAGATGTTCAATGAAGGCATGGCGTGTACGTCGAAGATCGCACTGAGGGCGATCATTTCGGGTTACGAAGATGGGTTTGGCTGCGTGAAATCGGTGGTGGATGTGGGTGGTGGCACAGGTGCAGCCATGGCGGAGATTGTGAAGGCTTATCCGCATATAAAGGGGATCAACTTTGATTTGCCGCATGTGGTGAAGACAGCGCCGGAGTACCATGGAATTTCTCATGTTGGTGGTGACATGTTTGAGGTCATTCCTAAAGCTGACGCAGTCTTCATGAAGGTAAGGGTCCGATATTTTTTTTATCGAATGAAAATGTCACACGTATAATTTTTTTTATTTTTTTATTTTAGTTATTTTTAGGCCTTATTTGAAATGCAATATATATATAGTTTTTTTCACATATCATTTGTCATAATTTTAATGATACCCATTATATACTAGTTAATCATTCACATATTAATAATGAATCTATTAAAATATAATTATATATGTATATGTATATCTATATTATTTATAAATGCCTTAATAAAAAAATTAATTTTTTATTTTATCTCTAATTATTACAATAAAATCAATTATTATTATTTATATACTTTCATTTAATTTTTGTTTTTTACTCATATTTAACTTTCAACTTGTTTGGACTCTTTTATAAGAATTCTTAAATTTTTTTGAATTTATTTATTAGTAATACAGTTAAATACAATTCTCTATATTAAAGTTTTATATATGTTAAATTATTATACAAACATAGATATCGGATTAAATTCTACAATTCAATATATATTATATTATATTTTTTAGTATGCAATAATATAATAATATATTATAAACGATCTAACGATCTATTTAACAAACTAAAAAGAGATTCCTAAATAATGGATAAATTAGGTACTCAAAAATTTATAAAATAAAATAATAATTAAAATATAGATTAATTAGTAGACATCTAATTTATTATCTAATTTAATTACACATATAATTCACATTTACAAAAAAAATATTATTCACATTTTCTTATATATATAAGAAAACACCTAACAACTTAAATTTTTATTCTTTACATATTTTCATTTCTAGAAAAGCATATCACCTATTTTTATCACATATTTAATTATTTAATATTTAATTAATTTGTAATTTAAGATAACTTTTATTGAAAAAATTGTCCATACACAATAGTGTAATATATTGAAAAAATTTTGTTGGATTATGTATTTTGAAAAGTTTTTGTCGATATTTATTAAAAAATAATGGATAAAAATTAATCTCAAATGATATAATTAAAGAAAGGAAAAATATAAAAAAATTATTTAATATAAAAAAATTAATTCATTAAACAATTAAATTTTATGTTTCATCGCACTATAAGATTATGAATATTATATATTAGGTGAGATTTGAATCCAATAACCCACGACCACCCACAACACGAAAACACGCGACTCCCTCTACCTCTGCAAGCTTTAGTTGTGTATGGTGGGAAGTCCCTTCCCACACCTACTCTAGTGGGACCCCTCCTACAGATTTTGTTTGCCCCATTATAAATGATAATTGAGTTTGACTGTTTTGGAGTAGGTAAGTACAGTTTAAGAACATTCCGCATGCTAAATCTCCAAAGCAGTACACGCATCCACAAATATTTCTTAGACAGCTTAAGAAACCTTTCATTGAACATTGTAGTATAATACAGATATATAAGAGAAAAGACTTTTAATTTTGGTCACCACAATTTAAAAATAGGTTGTTCAAATTTTTGATTAATCATAATTTTTTTTCTTACTTGACCTTACGTGGCCTTATTGGACAACTAGCCTAAAAAATCGAATAGAAATACGAAAGAGTTTTTTGATTTTTCGATTAAACTGGATAAGAATGCAGAATAGTCATTATTTTCGTATTTCTATCCTATCCTACCCGCATTTATTATTAAGAAGACAAAATCTCTAAAAGGTAAGAAATACTATTAAACCAAAGACCGATTGGTTTCGGAGTGAAGATAAAGGAATGATTGACATGATAATTATATAAATAGAAGAATATATATTTTGATGGTATTACTAATGAAATTCTTATACAATGCTTTTAATTTATTAAAACAAATTGGGTATCAATATCAAATGGTTGCATTAAACTTATTTTTTATAAAAAGTGGTAGGATTCTAGGTGGCTCTATGACCCCCAGGTTGACACGTGGAATAATGAAGTCGTTGGGATGTCCAAAGGGTGCCGAAGAGGTAAGCCGAGATATGGTGACACGGAGCAGCCGAGTACGACAACTGTCATCATATTTAATGCGATGTGACCCCTCATTTATGACAGAATGAGTGATAGTGACAAGATAAATAAATACGCGTCTGCAAGCACCTACACTCTGGGAATCTAGGCCTACTGTCATGATGGCTAAGCATTAATGGCTGATACGCTGAGATGACGTGATCGACTCCTTTGAGGAACTATTCCCCCAAGTATTCAATGCTCAGTTGATTTCAGATGTCGATCTGGGGGATTTGGGTACTCGAGGGAGGGGCATAAATGCTCGGCATTTTGCCGAGAATTTATCCCATCTTCCTAGTATTTAATAGGAGGAGACGTGAGTAAAAAATACTCATTGCACGAGGAATGGTGTATCAGATGTAAGATATCCAGATTGGACTGTAGATCTTTGACAATCATTGTTAATTCAGGTATAAATACTCAAAAAAATGGACAAAGATACGCAAACTTGAACCAAAAAAAGATTGTCCATTGAACTAAACCCTTCGATCTTAGACTGATTTAAGCTTCGGAGGGAATAAGTCGGGTGCTCACCTGACCCCCTTTTTCTAACCCTATTATTTCAAGTTCGCCAGCTTGGATATCGATGTCTCAAACTATTGTAGGAATTATCCCGTGTTATTTGGCACCGTCTATGGGAAGCAAGGGCATCTTTCCTGGTAGCAATCCTCTGATGGTGAATACTTGATTTCAGGGTGAAGAAGCAAGTGTGCGTGTAAGGAATGTAGAGCCCGTCCGACTTCCAATGGTTCTAAAACCGATCCATTAGGCCAATCTGGTGGAGTGGAGCATTCTTCGCAACGAACGCTCCCTATGGATCAGGGCCTTGGGGGGCATGACCTCATGGCCCGTGACATCGTTGAGATGGTAGAATAGCATTAAGCAGCTTGAGAAGGAAAACGCCAAGGTCCAGCGGTGTCTTGACGATTTTGAGCAGTCAGCGAGCGCGAGCAGGCATAATTGCGGGTTCGAGGACTAGGTGCCTAGCCAAAACCTTTTTCAAGCCTCCTTGGCATAGACCCTACAGGAAAGACTGGATTAGGCACTCACCCGAGGGACGTAACCGCCAAGGTGGGTTCTCGGCCTCGAAGAAGAATTCGAAATCGGGCCAAAAGGCAAGCCTGTCCCCGTGGGACCTGCGCCAAGGGATACCCGAGGGCGTCAGCATCGCCGAATCACAAGCGGAGTCCACACCCCGGAGGCCTCGAGAAGAAAGATCAAAAAATTATCGGAGGGTCTACTTCACCGCTTATCGCAACCATAAGCTCTAGGTCTATTCCGACGAAGTTATTTCACTGTTCATTCGGACTATTAGGGAGGCCGAAATGCCGAAGAAGTTTACCGTCCCAAGGTTCAAAATCTACGATGGAAAAACTGATCTCGAAAGCCACCTTCAGCAATACAAACAATTGATGTCAATCTACGATACTAACCAAAGGGTGTTGTGCCGAGTTTTTCCCATGAGCCTAGGGAACACAGGCATGAGATGGTATAAGAACCTGGCTCCTAAGAGCGTCAGGTCCTAGAAACAATTGAAGGAGCTCTTCATAGCTTGATTCATCGCCAGTAGTAAGAAATCGAAGGACATCGACGCACTATTGACGCTTAGGCGAAAGAGAGGAGAGACACTTCAACAATATGTCGTCCAGTATTGGGATGAAGTCAATGAGGTGGAAGCATGTTCGGAGGCATTGGCCACGGTGTCGTTTAGGCTAGGGCTGTTCCGGGACACTGATTTGTATAAATCGCTGACTAAAAGAAGGCTCTGGTGAATATGAAAGACTTAATGGCTCGAATTAACAAATATACCCGAGTGGAGGAAGAATCTAACGCGCTAGAGAGAAGGGTCCTGGTGCCGAGAAAAAGGGAGAGGGAACAGTCGGCCCGAAGGGGAGGGCTTGTTCCACCCCCAACTCGTCTGTCCTTCCAAGGGGTGAACACGGTCTTCAACGAGCCCTTTACATGATACTTCCCAAGATTAAAAACAAACCCTACTTCAAGTGGCCCCCAAGGATGATAGAAAATCCATCGACAAGGAGTGCGGCCTTCCATTGTTCGTATCATAAAGATGTAGACCATTTGACGGAGGATTGCAAGGTTTATAAATCCTTCCTCGAACAATTAGTGCAGGACGAACACCTCGGGGAGTTCATCGATAAGGGTCATCCCGACAGATCGGCGAGCGAGCAAGCCAAGGTGCCAACTGAGGTAGCATTTATGATTGATGTTATTCATGTCTGCACAGTGGAGAGGCCTATATACAACTTCCTCCACGTCAAGTTATAGAAGGTCTCTCAAGCAGTCAGGGTGGAAGAAAGGGGTGAGGAGTGGCCGTCCAAGAAGCCGCGAAGCGGTATCAAGGTTATCCAATTTTTTGATGCTGACCTCAATGGCGTGGTCCTTCCCCACGAAGATGCATTGGTGATCACTTTGCGAATCGAAAAGTTCAACGTCAAAAGGATCTTGGTAGACTCGAGTAGTTCTTCCGAGGTGATGTATGATTACCTCTTTCGTAAAATAGGATTCTCACAAAGGGATCTGGAACCCGTAAAGGCCCCCCTCATCGGCTTCAATGGTTCTAGCGCCCTACCTCTTGAAAAAATTACCCTCATGGTACGTGCAGGGGTGGTAACCACGCCAGTAGAGTTTGTGGTAGTGGACTTCGACTCCCCGTATAACGCTATTATGGGGAGATTATGGTTGAATGTGATAAAGGAGGTCCACTCGTCCTATCACCAGAAGATAAAGTTCCCAACACTGCAGAGCAGAATGGAAATTCGGGGTGATCAGGCATCGACGAAAAGCTGTTTCTATGTCGCGGTGAAAA